CTTTGCCAAAGTCAACAAATGAGGGAACAGATGTGCCAAGACCTCAGTAGGTAGATGAATTCTGGAGCTAATAGGACTCAGAGACGGACTGCTTTCTTCTTCTTAAGTCAACCCAGAAGCACTTAGGACAAAGTTCAGAGCTGGTATTTGTGTCAGAATCAACCAGCTGCAAGTGTCCAATGAAATGTGTAAGCCACAGCAGCGCCGGCTATGCTGTCACAGAGCAGACAGAAGCATAGATCCACATACCAGTGTTTACACATACAGGAAGCATCGTTCCTGAAAAATCCAAGTTTTTCTACAACACTCAACTTCTTTAGTTCCTGAGAGACCCAATACAACAGTTCCTTTTTCCTATGGTGAACCTAAAAATAATGTCTGGTTCTTATCGTTCATGATGATGATGATGGTGGTGATGATGATAATGATGATGATGAAGATTATGGTCTGTCTATTTTTGAGACAGAGTCTTACTATATAGGCCAGGCTGGACCTCCTAGAGTCTCAGCTTAAGCTCATCAGGTGCCATATAACTAGTCAGCACAAAGCTTCAATAACAGTTGCCTTATGCCCACTGAGTAGCCTGCTACTCTATAAGCACTTACTTGATACAGTTATTTGTATTTAAATTACATTATTGTATAATCTTGCATTTGTGTTCTAGGAAGGGCATGATAATATGAATCACAGGTAGCCCAATAAATGTCTGCAACTTTAGAGTGAACATCATGGTTTTTTCACGAGGCTAACTTCCTTATTATCTGTTTCATCATAGAGTGGAGCTGCCCAACACTTTAGAGAAGGGCTTCTCATATACTAGAGCATCTTGGAAAGCAGTAAAACATGATGATAGTCATTGTTTGAATCTGAGCAAATGGAAAACCTTCCCAAGCATCAAATCCCAGAATGTCCATTAGGAAAGCTGGGGAATGCAGAAAGTGCCTTGGGGTCATCAGTTGCCATATTAGAGGAACATTTGCCACAATGATCACAAGGTGACCAGGTCAAACCAACAGTCACCAAAACAGAAGAATGAGGAATCCGGAACAAGTGGCTATGACAACAACGACCATTGCTATATTAGATGATAGCTAGGGTTTATGGCACACTAGAGAACCAGATGAGAGCATGCACTTCTAGCTTGTTGTTGTGACAGAAGACACACTCATTTTGATTCTGAGTTTTGTTTCACAAATCTAGAACGCTACAACACAGTTAAATTTTTATAACACTCACATTGAAGGTTACTGACCTGAGATCATTGACCAGCACAGCTGAAGTCTTGGGTCACTGTAAATCTGTGTTCCTTTTGAGCTACAACTGGTCATACCTATCAGCTTTCAACCCTGAAAGAACCAAAGTGTTCTCTGCACATGAGTTGGTAGACTGCTAGGCCATGTTCAATGCCTTTCTCACCTCCACAGTGATTTTAGTGGGTCACCTAAAATCACCTTTGGTACATGAGTAAAGCTGAAAATTAAATGCGGGTAGCATGCTCCAGTTTCTGCAACTAGAAAGCAGCAGGCTCAAACCTTGAATCTAATTCTTTAGATTTTTTTCTGTCTTATCTTCCAACTAAATGGCCATCCTACCCATTCTCTCATCACTCCATGTTCCCTGGTGGTAGTGTAACCACTCTGTGTAGTATCATTGTTTTTTGATCTTGTGCACCTAGCTGAAAATACGGCCACTGGATAGGTGGATACATGAGCAACTACAGTCAGCGTTTCAGAAGTGAGCACCAGTAACAAGAACTTTTTCTTCAGTAAAGTGCCAAATAAGTTTTGTTTTTGTTGTTCTCAACCATCTATTTGTAGTGAAAGACCATATTGCTTCATAGGAGGGTAGAGTGAATGAAGAACTTGGTGTTCTTTCAGCTTCCCCTGCTCTTATTTCTGTTTTATTTTTCCCAGAAAGTTCTAAGCCTTCCTTTTTTAGGTGAACTGGATAGATTCTTGACCTCTCTTCCAATTAATGTGGATTCTCACTGCCCAGTGTATTTGGAACATACCACATGCAGCCAAACTAATTCTTCCCTTGCCCCAGGCATAACTCACCTTACACACACACACACACACACACACACACACACAAACACACAGGAATTCCACCCACTCCCAATACGGATGGACAATGAAGCAAAGGCCACACAGCTGGAATAGGCAAGGGAAGATTTGCTGGGGTGAAGAGACAGGAAGCAGGAAGGTCTGGGAGCTCATTCAGGGAATTTAATTCTTCACTTGGCCTCTTTGTACTTGGAGAGAGTGTGTGGTCCAGAATGCTGGGAGTGAGAACTGGGGGCAGAAGTGGATGGAAAGTTAGGGCTGGGAGCAGGGAGTGTGGCTTCTCACTTGTACACTGACTCACCTCATCTTCCCCAGGCAAGTCTCTTAATTGCCTAACTAATGGGAATAATGACACCACTTGGATGGGAGTTGAGAGAGGGGGGAAAGAAAGGCATGAGAATTCATTAACCCTGTGTGAGGGGCTTGGAGAGGGCCTCTGAGAGATCATTATTACATCATTTTGCCCCTTTCCCACCTTTCCCCACTAATAGGAGACAGACAAATGCTAAATAACTATGTAATAATACATTACTAGTCAGACAACAATGCCAGCATATGTAATAGCCTGCTACAGCTATGAAACTCCACCAAAGATGTATTTAAAGTGTCACCGCTGCCTAATGTAAAACATGAATTACAGGTTCATTTGGAGGACACGATTTAAAATCTATACAACCGTACCTTGGCATTTCCCACTGGGTTTTAGCTTTAGTTGTCTTTTTTTCTGAACATTAGGAAAAAAAATCCCCAAGTAATTTCAACCCAGAGATACTAACTTCAAGGAACAGTTTTCTTCTATTCTCTTCCTTTCTGTTTTCTTTGGTGGCAACGGCTCCAAACCTACTATCTTTTTGACATGTTGTCTTTCCCTCGGAGTGCTTCACAGGAACCCCAGAATGTAGATTACACCTTTTGGAGATGTAGCCTGGCCACATAAGGAGACAAGTAGTTGAAATTTGTGTCAAATTGCTTGTTTAAATGACTTGAGCCAACTTCTTAGAGCCAGGACGGCAGGGGCTGGGGATTTTCAAAGTTGGCAGGGGCCAAAATGACAAGGCTCAGCAGTCACCTGGTGAGCTGCCAACACTGACTGGAGGCTTCAAAAAAATAGACTTTCTCAAAGGACACAAATTAAAAGTCATGTTTCAACATCTATTAAAAGGAAATTATAGGCTTACATCGCCTAGAAAACCCACTTTTGCTTTCGTTAGGTTTAAAATACTGCATCATGCCAATGGAGAACCCGTTGCTAAGAAAACCTTGGGCAGGGCTATCCTGAGTAGAGATATTTATACGGGGGCATTTCCAGAGGCAGAGTTCTCATGCGAGAATTTTCTCTACAAAGGTAGAGGATTTCTGTATTTGAAAGACAGGATATGATTTGGAGCAGGATCACGATCTCAAATAGTGATTTCCCTTAACCCTCTGCAGACTGTCCTCAGGACTCCTCTCTTAGTGGAGAACAGCTATCAGCCTACGAGTCAGAGGGAGCTGGCATACTCTCAGTATATATGCACATCTGTGTTTTTATGCCTATTCATGTATTTATCAATTTATTTTGAGTTGTCAGCTCCTTGAAAACCCAGGAAACTGCATCCAAAATTACAAATCTTCAGTTCAGTGTCCTCTATCCAGCTAAGAGACATGTTTGTTTGCCTTCAGCCATGGTAACACTGACCCGAAGCCTCTGAAGAACACTTCTTACCCACTCCAGTTCAATCCTGTCCACAACAGGAATGCTTTACTTTCCTACCTAGTTACCACCACAATTTAAATGCAAGGCCTCTCTGTCTCTGTCTCTGTCTCTCTGTTTCTGTCTCTCTCTGTCTCTCTCTGTCTCTCTGTCTCTCTCTCTCTCTCTCTCTCTCTCTCTCTCTCTCTCTCTCTCTCTCTCTCTCTCGTGTGTGTGTGTGTGTGTGTGTGTGTGTGTGTGTGTGTGTGTGTGTGTTCTATGCCTCTGGTATCAGTTCTCCCTATCCACCTTGTCTGAGACAGGCTCTTTTGATGTTCAGCAATATACAGGCTAGCTGCCCTGAGAGTTTGTGAGAATTCTCTTTTCACAGCTTCTCATTTCACCATAGAAGGCCTATGACCGTAGACGGGCACTATTGTGTCTGGCTTTACATGTGTTCTGGGAATCCAAATCTAGATAATTCTGCTTTCACAGCAAGCACTTCACCTACCAAGCCATCTCCCTGGACCACAAACTGTGTTTGATTGACACACAATAATTGCACAAAGTTATGGGATATATTGTGATGTTTCAATACACTGTGTGATGTTCAAATCCCGGTAGTTAGCATACCTGCCACCAGAAACATAGAACTTCTCTGGGATGAAACATTCAAGAGAACATCCTGTAGTGGGAAATGTTCTTTATTATTGACGATAATTACTCTACTGTGCAGCAGAACCCCAGAGCTTGGTCTTCCTGTGTAACTGTCTGTGCCCACTGGCCAAATTCTCCCTATCTCCCACCTGTACAGCTTCTTGTAACCTTTATTGTATCTTCTACTCCTACAAAAATAGCTGGGTTGTTTGTGGTTTGTTTTAGAGAACCTAAACCTTTAAATTTTACCAGGAAATGGAATAAAACTTGTCACAGCCAGAACCAGCCTGAGTGTATTGTTCCTTCCATTGTAATTATCAGATAATTCCACTGACCATCCATTCCTTATCCAGTCGGCTTTTCTAACCTGGACCCTCCTTGCTCTCTCATTGATGCATATCAACAAATACAAATTAAAGCACTGTATTTGTTTGTGACAAATGGCCCTGGGGTGTTCTATGCAGCCCCACCTGTAACCTCTGGTTTGTGGTTTGCAGTCACTGTGGACACTGGGGACTTTGGCTGCAAACCCACCCCACAGGTGCAGAGTTCCTGGGATTGAAATCTGCAGGTCCTGATGCCTGTTTCTCCTTCCTCTCTTTCAGGTCCTCCGAACCACCACAGCCAGTCAACTCTGAGGCCCCCTTTGCCACCTCCTCACAACCACACGTTGTCCCATCACCACTCGTCTGCCAACTCCCTCAACAGGAACTCACTGACCAATCGGCGGAGCCAAATCCATGCCCCAGCTCCAGCACCCAATGACCTGGCCACCACACCAGAGTCCGTTCAGCTTCAGGACAGCTGGGTGCTAAACAGTAACGTGCCACTAGAGACCCGGTAAGTTTCTGTCGCCTACTCTAAGTCACTTGAGTCACATGGCTCTGGGTGGCTCTGAGTTCTGGTTGGAGAGACATTGCCAGCATAAGGAGACAAGTTTAATGCCTCCTTGTCCCTTGGTAATTTGACCCTGGACAGTAGGTCGATCAGTATTTCTTTGTTCACATGTGTCTCCTTTTAATGCTTGTTTACTTTCTTAGGCAGCTCTTGTGTACCCAACTAATAGAATTAGCATAACATATTTTTACTCAAAGGCTCATGGGAAACATGCTTATAAGGGTATATTGACTGAATGCTGCTGATAAATTATGCATTTGGCCTTTCTTGAAGTAATAAATGAAGACTCATTTGAAATTAAGTGTTTGGGGAGACCTTGAAAACAATCCCCGATTCCAGACTGACAGAAGTCTAATTTTAATTTATATTTCATCCAACCCGCTGGCCCACTTTACTCCCTCCTGTACACACTAACAGCTTGATGGCTCTGGGGCAAACAGGGATGTAGAAAAAAAAAAAAACAAACAACAAAACGGGGAGGTAGGTACTTGTGTTGGGAAGGAAGAATCTGAAAATAATCCCTATGTCTGACTTTGTTTTGTTTGTCTGTTCTTTAGTCCTTTACCCACTTTCACTTCTGGTCTTCTAAAAACCATGTATTCCTCAGTAGGCTTAAGGAAGACCTTAGAGACATGGTATGGTAGATGAGACAATTGACAGTGAAGGCCATGAGCAGATTGGTCTGATACCCAGAGTCTTGTGGCTCCATCCCCATACACCTTCTGTTTGTATGCTCCACTTGTTTGCTTAGCTGAAAGAGCCACAGAGGCAGCCATTTGTATGGACCCCTCAGAACATTCTCAAGTCACTTTCAAACTTCAATAATTTAGGTTTGAAGAAGAGAAATAATCTGCAGTGTTTCTGGTAATGGCTGGTGGATTTTTCCACACACAGCTGGAAGCAATTTAGAAAGCTGTAACCTGTGGAGTTGTTGCTCGCCTCTGACACCTTTCAAGTTGAAAAAGTAAGCTCTTGAGCTTGAGTAGATGGTACACCCTTGCTGCTGTGCTCACACTCGACTTTCATTTTCTGACAATTATCCTTGTTTTCATCTATGTCTTCAACCTTACTCTCTGAAGCTTAAAAGATGTCAAGTCAGTAAAAATGATATCTATGGATTATACAGAATAGATAACTATTAACAACTGTACTAATGCAACAACCCTGATAGTAATCCTAATAGCCATGGCAGAAGCTACAGGTCATCCAAGCTAGATGAGATTTTCTGTTTCTCCCCTTGTGTTTATGAGCCACCCTGGAGTTTGTCATCAGCCTCTTTTAGTCAGTAGATGATTATATGTGAAACATAGTTTCTGGGTAGAAAGAGATAAAAGAGAAAAGGGGAGGAGGATATGTGGCTGCCTCCCTGCCATTGGTATTAAGCTTATATTGTGCATTTCGTGTGTACACTTGTATATATTTTCTATGTGCATTAATACATTCAAACATCTCAGTCGAGTCAGAAAGCAATCCAACAAGGTCTAAAGGGATGATTATTATTTCTTCTTCAAAGATGAGGGGTCCAGATGTAAAGGAACATTCCTGCAATACGTCTGTGATTTCACAGAGATGATAAATTATGAGGGAACCTGGGTACAGCCCTCATGATCCCCATAAGATAAGGGAGGGAGATGTCTATTTGGGTGTACAGCCATAAGCCTGGCTCTTTTGCACTAGATCGTCCAATTCACAGGGGCAGATCCATCAGTCTGCTACTTGAAAGTAGTCTCCCCTCGGTCATTAGAACATATATAAAGGTATGCATTGCTATACACAGTTATACATGCATGCAAAATGTCCATACATGTAAAATAAGAATATTGGAAAGGACACATATAAATATGCAACCTAGCTGCTGATGTAATCGGTTGGTTTCCCAGGAGACTTGTCAAGAACCACTTATAAGAAAACGTCCCTTTTGTAAGTACATGGTTGAAAAGACCCACAAGAGCAATGGGTCACTCGCTGATGTCTTAAGGCACACTCTCTCAACACCTGCTCTGTGCTCTCTAGAGTGCTTCTGCAGAGCCCTTGCACAAGTAGCATTTCTCGAAGGACCTTGAGACGTCAGTGATGTCCTTGGGAAAGGCAAGGAAAAGATGAACTCTGAACATAGACAGAATCTCCAAAACCTTGAAGTCTATCTCAAAGTATAGACAAGTGAGAGCAGCTCCTGGATGTTCATTACTCAGTATGTTCAAGATCCAAGGATTAGAGACTGGGAATGTCTAGTCCAGGACGGGGGAGACTCCCAGAAATCAAGCCTTCATGGGTGTGAGCACAAAGAACTTGGATGTACAGGGGAGATGCCCATGAAAACTTTAGCATGAATCCACAGCACGTTTGGAACCTATGATCTTCTGATATGGGAGTGCAACTCTGTGACTGAAGACTAACTTTACATGTGCCAGGCTCTGAGTTCAGTCCTTAGTACTGAAATAAACAAACAAGGGCTGGGGAGATGGGTCAGTTGGTACAGTGCTTACTGCACAAGCATGAGGGCCTGAGTTTGAATCTCCCATGTTCCTGTAAAAAGCCAAGCACTGTTACACACATATCTACAACCCCCGTGCTGGGGGTGAGATGTGGGATGAGACAGGAAGACCCTTGAAACTCATTGAGCAGCCAGCATAGTTGACAATGAATTCCAGGTCTGAAAAGCTAAGGTGGAGAGCAGCTAAAGAAAATACCCAACATCAACATCTGGCCTCTACTCACAACTGCATGCACACCCATAAATGTGCATGTGTATGAGTACACACACACACACACACACAGGTACACAACAAATAAAATTAAACAAATAACATGAATCTGTATAGCATAATTTCTACAGAACTATGGTTTCACTAGCCCAACCTTAGAAAAGGAAAACAGAAGAGAAAGGAGATTTTGAAAAGAAGCCATCCTATTATTCCTTTTAAAACAATGTCGATTTTCTCTCTTGTTATCAAATAGGTTCTGAGTTCCCAAGAGCAATGTTAGATACTGAGTAGATCATGAATAAATTGTACACACTCCTCTTTCAGGTTGCACATAACCCAAAGGAAGGGTTAAAGAAATAAGCAGAAAGCACACTACATATAATAATAGGCAATGGAAGAATGAAAGTCACAGTGATTGTCACAAAAAAAGTTTCACAGCTTAAAAGCCACTAGATTTGCCTTTTCAAAGGTAAGTCAAGGTCTAACAAGTAGAAAATCAGAGAAAAATCCAAGCCCTATTGTGTATTATTTATTCCCATGACCACCATTTTTTATATTATTGTTAACAACTGGGAACTAAACAAACTCATTCATTCAAGTGCTAAAGCAGTGAAATTTCAGAAGCATCATTTTCTTACCCATGGGTCTATGATAGCAGGTGTGGGAATCCTTTGTAAGGATATGATGCCACACAAGGATCACCACGCCTCTTTAATACTAAATAAGACTCAGTTAATCATGTCCTAGATAAAGAACCATTGAAGGCAAGATATTCTGGAGGCTCATTGTGAGGTAGTCTCTAATTGAGGACATGAAATGGAAATTTACCAACAGCTTCATGACCTCCCCCTCATTCATTCCAGCTTCTGGGAGTGATGGATGAGCTCCATACTTGGGAGGTAATGAACAGGCATCCTGCCACCCCCAGAGATGTTCAGCCAAATCCCAGTGTTTCTTTTAAACCAGTGGGGACAGGTCCTTGCCTCTCAGCAGTCTATGTTGTTGTCCCTACCAGACTTAAAGAGGCCTGTGAAGTTTTCCTTGAACCTTATGATATTTTTTTTAGTTTGTCTTACAACATATAGAATTGGAAGTGCTAGTTACACAGCATAGAAATATAAGACATGGAAAACAGAACCAGGGCTATGGAGGAGGGTCAGTAGTAAAGGGCTTGCCATACAAGGCTAATGACCTGAGTTCATGTAAGAGGCACACCTGGTAGTGTGTGTTTCTAATTCTGCCACTGGAGAAACTCAGAGATAGACAGATCCCTGGAGCTCAATGGCCAACTGGTCTCGCCATATTCATGAACTCCAGGTTCAGTGAAGTACTCTATTTCAAAAAAATAAGGTAGAGATTGAAAGAGACACCCAACATCAGCTATTAGATTACACACACACACACACACACACACACACACACACACACACACACACACACACACACACACACCAATAAAAGCAAAGAGAGCTGTCCAGATGAGGCACTGAACACATAAAAATCATGTAAAGAGAGCTCCGTTAGCACCGTTAGAGAACAGCATGTAAATTGTCACTATTGAAGGCAGTTTACATATAAGCTATAATAGGCAAGCATTCTACCAACTGCATCATACCCCCAATTGCCATGAGCCTGAATATAGCCCACAAAATCTAGGCACGTGACAGAGGCCCTCAGTTCAAGCAGCCTGTACAATAAATTACCATACTCCATCTTCCTCCAATATAGAATCAAGTCCCCAAATGCTTCCTGCCTGCCATCTCCTTTCACCTGTCTATTCCTTCTCTGCAGAGAGGGCCAAGGTCAGGAATCTTCCCACTCGGCAGCTTCTTGGGAAGTGTCAGAAGTTAGCTTCTCTTGTCTAAAACAGTAGCAGTATCTCAGTGACAGAATCCAACTTCCCCTCTGTTTTGCTGAGACAGGCTTCTCCAAATCTGTCTTCATAGCAGGTGACTGAGGAGAATCCCTAAGCAGGGCAAAGCTTCCCAGATTCAGAAACTCTGGGAACCCTGATTTTAATCATCCACATCATCAAGTTATAAACAAATTTGCAAAATTGCACATTGCTTTTCAAGATGGCCATCCTTTCTAGAAATGTCTCTGAGAATGGCTAGTATGTGTCAGCCACTCAGAGTTCAAACCCACACACTAAGCAAGCCTTGCCCTTACAAAAATGCTAGACAGGGAACAGGATGAAACATTGAACCAACAAATGAATAAACAAATGTCTCTCTCATA